CCCTTGGAGGCCAGAAGAGGGTGTCGGATCCCCTGGAACTGGAGTTATAGACGATTGTTAGCTGCCATGTGGGTGCTGGGAATTGAACCTGGGTCCTCTGTAAGAGCAACCAGTGCTCTTAACAGCTGAGCCATCACTCCAGTCCCAGGCCTGGTGAATTCTATACAGCGTTTCTCCGAATGAGGTGTCCCTTTCCCCTCTCTCCATTAGGTACTCCTGTAATCTGTACATTCCTGTCTGATGGTGCCACATGGGGCCCCCATTTTGTTCACTGTATTTAGGTCATTTTTTTCTTCTTGCTCTTCTAAGAGGACAATTCCAGTGCACCTGTCTCAGGCTTACTATCTATCCCCCACATGATCAGCTCTGTTGCTAAATTCTCCTGTCGTTGAATCCCTCAGCCTCAGGATTCCTGACTGGTTCTTTTCCGTGGTTTCTATATTTTTTCTAGCGTCTATTTTCTATGCTGTTTTCTTAATTCCATTGGTTGTATTTTCTTGTTGTCTGAATAGACTTTGCATTTGTGTCTTTGCATTTGAAGGAATAAACTGCTCCTTTTCAGCCCTTACACACTGGTTTGAGTCAGCTAAGTCTTCTCATGTTAATTCTCTGGGCCATGGAATCGCTTCTGAAACCAGGGTTGATCTGGGGTTGGATCTGGGTCACATGGTTGCTGTTGGGTCTACACTGGGGACTGCAGTTTGCACACCTATTGCCAGGGGCTCTAGTGAGGATGAAGTCTGTTTTTTTACTGGGTGGACCCTTGGTCTATGGAGCTTGCACTAGAATGAGGACCATTCTCTGGCACTGCAATAGCGTTTCAAGGTCATGGACAGGCATCTCTCCCCTTGGGTTCTGGGTCGACAAGCCTGCTTTCTGACTACAGGGCTGGAGTTGATTTATAGGGACATTCTAAGACCCACAAGGATAACAGAGTGACAAGTCAGGCTTCAAGGACAAGGCTGGATGTGCCTCCCTCCAGGCCCTCGCACAGGCAGAGCTGCTCTTTGTCTGCTAGAGAGGATGGGACTGAAATCCTGGGCCACAGGTGGATTTGTGGAACAGGAAGTTGGCAAGTGTGCCCAGACACTCAGATGGATGTTTCTCCTGGCAGGCCCCTGGATGGGCAGAACTCTTCCCAGATAATAGCAAGGGACTGGACCTAAGCTTGAGGTTTCCTTAGGAGTCGTGATCAGCCAAGCCCAATCTGGTGCCCCTGGGGGGTAAGAAGCCGCACAGCTATCTGTGTAGGAGGATTGCTCCTGGAACAGCATGGAGGGGCTGGAGCTGAGCTGAAGGGCCTTTCAGGGCCCTATGGAGGACAGAGCCCACAGGCCTTTCCCAGAAGCACACAGATGAGTCTGCAGTTGTCTGTGCTGTCAGGATTGTTCCCAAGACAGGCTGCACCCAACACTGGGTGGAGCCATGACAGGGCCCCTTCAACACCTTCTGTGAGATGGAGACTCACATATCTGTTGGTGGCACAGGCACTCTGGGTCCTTGCGCTAGCTGCAATAATCAGGCCTGCATGTGAGTGGGTCTAGCATTGGGTTACAGGATAATTTCCAGATCCAGTACTGGGCTGCATGTTAGCGGACCTGCCTCTAGAAGCAGGAGTGTGCCCAGTTCTGCCTGGACCCCTGACAGTGGTGATGGTAGCAAGCTCATGGCCAGGCAGAGCTATAGCCAAACAACTTTGTGCAACGGGATTATTTCTGGGCTGGGAGCAGGCGTCACAATCAATGGGTCTGCCCCTGGGACATGGGATCTTTCCTGTCAGAGTCACCCTCCTGGGTCTCAGCCTCCATCAGTGTCTCCTAAACCCCTATGTAAATCCCAGGATCCCACAAATGTGCTTTTTTCTATGGGTGGCTAAAAAATGTTGTTAGGGGATTTGAGCAGGGGCGTCCTATTTTATCAATTTACTGATTTTAAAAAATGTTGTAAAATGCATATAACATAAATTATACCCTTGGCATACTCAGGAAGCCACTCAACCATCACACCACAGTCTTATTCCAAGGCACGTTCATCACCCTAAAGGGTACACACTTCCCCATTAGCAGCCCCCCACCCCCCACCACCTGCCCTCTGCCCTGGGAACCCCACTGCCTGTGTGATGGTTGGTTAATATTATCAACTTGATAGAAAGTAGGAGACAAACCTCTCTGGGCATGACAGAGTAAGTTTCTCGATTGGGTTAATTAAAGTGAATGTGAGCAGCAGCATCCTGTGGGCTGGGACCCTGGATCCTGGACTGAATGAAAAGGAGAAAGTGAGCCGAGCACCAGCATCCATCTCTCTCTTCTTCCTGACTGTGGACATGGTGAACATAATGTGCATCTGCCCCATGTGCTG